AAAGTGTTCCTTTCGTGTCTATTTACGTTTGTTAAGAAAAGTAGGATTATTTAGGCTATTTGGTGACTAGCTAGGACAATAGAAGAAGGGATATCAGAGAAATTTTTTTTTTGCTGTTCTGATCAGCTACAGTATAGTAATGCTCGAATATTGAAATAGATGGTGTGGTTCAGCGGTTAGTGGGTGATAAATTAGACAAAGACCGTAATTATAAATTTTAAATGCTAAAATATATTGAAATCTTTATATTTTATCATAGGTTAATCCTAGTGCGTAAACCAATAAGCCCGTTAGCACGTTAGAAAAATCGTATTGTGTGAGTCCGATTACTCAGCTAGTGACTAATAGTATTCTATTACTATAGGGTTTTCTATTATAATTTTAGCGGCTAGAGTGAGAATACTATTCCACTTTTTGCAGATGTTTAATGTGATACGGACTCGCTTGGTTCCATTGAGTCCTTATATCAGACATGCCTTTTGCGACCGACACCTGAGTCGGAACATGACTTTGTTCCTGACCACAGAATTTTGTTAGACTTCGGTTGCTTATCGTTTAAACTGAGTCCGAATACAGAAACCGTGACTAGGATCGCCTAGGCCTTCATAGCGATGTAACGGGTTTTGCAAAGGTCAGACATTACACGCCAGACTCAGTTGAGAGCTACAAGGACAGTCCTTATACTTCCTATAAATCGGGCGCTTCAATGTTAACCCTTATGATGATATTTTACAGCGTTCCTTTTTATGCTTTAAGCAACCTCGGTTGCCATACTATAAGATCATGTTTTCGAAGCTATTTTTGGCAAACAATAACCTTATTCACTTATGTGTTTTAGTTGTAGTAAGTTGTTTTTCTTTCTGACAAACAACTTGCTACAACTTTCTACAAAAGCTGATCTTATTGTAACGCAAAATTGCAACTTGCCTTGATTTTGTGCTGTATCTAAGGTAATTTCGAATAAAACTTTCATGGTCAGCATTGACTATACACTAACCATGATGACACGACACTCAGAACCAAGGTCAGAAAAAGGTCAGGCTGGACGACTTCGTAAAGATAGGTAACATAAAATAATTCAAATGTATCCTTTATTTTTGTAGACTTCCTTATTTTGCTAGGGAAGGAATAATCTAAAAGCTTGGCTAAAAAAGTATCCTGTAATGTTTCCTATTCTATGTTATTGCATACGTTCACATTATGCCGAAGTACACTAATACAATTACCCTTTGCATGTAGACATTCAACGGTCGATAACATTTCCATTGTTTATCGTTATTCTCTTATAACACCTAAGTGAAATGATGTAAGTTTCAGTAGCAGCAACGAGCAAAGCTCATTTGAAACGAAGAGCTAATATAATCCGCAAAAAAATATGCGGATTGTGAATTTAGCGGCTGGTCCGAGCATTTGACAACGGCAAATGTAACCGACCGATTATTGTTGGCCTGCTGTAAGTGGATTAATCTGTACCTAAATGAGTTGAACCAGACGATGAACATGCCATGTCATGGGGGACAATTTCAGTTCGCTAAGGTCCAGTGGTAGTATATTTAACGCGAAAGATGCAGGCGTGGCCTACGTTCGGAACCGGCTACAAACAAAATTTATCTTGGGCTAGAAGCCATGCGCCTGAAGCAACGTCGTACCAGACGTGAAGTTCGAAGCGTTTAAACGGGTTCGAATCTAGGTATAGATACACTTCGACCATCCAGTAGAAAATCGAATAGTACAGAGAGCAGTGCATATATATGGTAGTAGCAGTGTGTATATATATGGCACCCGTTTTTCAATGCAATTAATTTAAATTCCTTATATTGATCCCGCTTTCCTGTCTGATTTGTCAAGCAATGCTGCACAACGGCACCGAAGTCGTAGAAAGAACAGCGGAAGGTTAGCCACGGAAAAAACCATAGCGGCCTATCTCCTTATAAAAATTAAAATAAATCGTCATCGAAAGTGATCATTATTATTCAATTTTTATGAATTTAGAAGAGATCTTAATTGATGCATGATGATGCTGAATTGTTTTATATAACATGTATTCGATGTAATTTCGACGCTACTAAGGGGATAATAGAATCATTTAACGTACCTCAGTGTTCGAGGGCCGCTAGTTGTAAAAACCTGCGATGTGTTTCAGAAATAGAACTGGGCCAAAAAAGTAATCACCCTCCAAAAAAAAATAAGGATCCACGATACAAATATTTAAGGGAAAAGCCGCTTGAGATCGTTATAAAAAATCATTTACGCAAATAATATCGATTAAGTTAATGCACTAAATAACATTGTTTTAATTAAGAACGCACACTTCAACAGAAATAATTCATAGAGAATTAGAAAAAGGAGGGTTCAAACAAAAATGACATACTTTTGCTATAAAAACTAGCTCTTACAATAATCTCGGTATAAATCTAATGAAAACTGTTGCCCTAAACACTAGAAGCAATACGTATTCCACTGAGAAACACACCAGCCTAAAAAATATTTAATATGCTATACCGGTACGATTTAATCCAATGATTAAACTGATTCATATTATTTTAGATAGATAAGATACTAAGAAATGTCTAAAGAAAAAATATTTACGATGATAATAATTAGAGAAGTTCAAAGTTATATACAAAACGATAGTTCTGACTAAATAAAGCGACAACATTAGGGGTGTTTTGGCAGCTTCGATGTCGTAATTA